AAATTCTTTGGTTATTAAAAATTTAAAAAACTTTTAACTTTTATAGCTAAGGATTTAAAATTTAAAATAAGATTCCACGTAAGTAGTTAATACAGTGGCAAAAAAATCTATAAAAACTATACAAACATTCGACACACTGAGAATTGAACACTAATTATCGAAGCAAAAAATTTAAATATTTGGATTGATGATAGGAATGGGGTAACTTACTTGAAAATTTATTTMCAATGTGCTGTATGCTCTTTACTCATCCATACATAAACTTACATATATAATCTATATTATTATTTATTACACGCTGTACTAGTATATTTATTGATTAATAAAATACATCTATGGCACATRTGTCACGAACAACTAGACCTTACAATTTGGAAGTATTTAAATTATATTACAAAACTTACGATTGCTTAATTCTCTTAATCACAATATTTTTAATAATAATCAATTACTTAATAAACAAAAAATATAACTAGGTATCAATATAAAATACAATTTTTGTTTTCAATTTTTAATTGATTTGTTGAATATTAAAATAAATTTAATATTGTGATAAGTTTGAAAATCGTCCTTGTGCTAGCTATTCCACTACCAATTTTTTATTTACCACATTATAGAAATTAATACACCAAGTATAAGTACGTAATTATTAATCAAGTTACTTTGTGGTAGTACCTATAACAAAAATATACTTGAGGGTGCTAACTTCTAAGAACGCTTTAACCACTTGCATCAATTCCTCTTATGAATACGATGATGGTTAATCGCAATTTCGTCCAATTAATTTGTAAATCTTATTTTGGAGAAGATAGTGTAGAGTGTTCGACTGGTTGTAACAATTTGCTCGGGCTAAGATATATAAAAAATGTCACTATATTGGTGGTATATAATTTATGTACAGATGAATATAATATCAATTTTTAAGGTTTATATRAAATACAGTTGACTATCAATAATTCGAAGTTGACGGGACCGTTGAAAAACTTCGAGAGTTTGAATCGTTGAGCAGTTCAAAGTATAACGATAGAGCAAAAAAAATTCTTATTACCTACTGAGAGTTAAGAAAAAATTTTTTTTTTTTAGTTTTGTACATAATTATTAATTATTTCAGAAAATTAGGTGTAGAACAGGTGGTACATAAATTAGATTTATATATTGTTTTTAAATTATAAATTAAGTTATAACCTTATAATTATACTATGTAAATATTAAATTATTATAATAACAAATTATTTTTTTTTGAAAAAATCTGTAATGGTTTTCTACTTCATCGAATTTAGTTTCATTTTTTAATAATTTTTAAATTTGGTGAATGTACTTTGAATTATCGACAGATGATACTTCGAATTGTCACATGTTAGTGCCCAGTTTTCCCAAAATTTAATTTCAAATTACCGAGTGTACTTAAATGTATTATTTTTATTAAAATATTACACCGCGTGGTTTTCAAGGGACCGTGCATTTGCTTCGAATTACTAAAGGCTACGAATTATTAATAAGGTTTGAATTATCGAGAGTCGACTGTAATTAGTTTGTAAGATTATTTATGTTTCATCATGTWGCCTATATTATTACTTTTTGACCAAAATATAAATAAATACAATATAATATATATATAATTTTGTGACTATAAAAAATATATGCTAGTGCGTGCCTACCTATTAATATTTGTAACTAAATA